CCCCACCCCCCCCAGTTCACGGCCTCCATGCCGGCTCCCCACCCCAGGCAGCATCTGTGATCCCTGGAGGTGCCACCGGGTGGCTCCAGGAGACCAGACCTGCAGGTGTCCTCTGGGCCCCGCGTGCCCTCGCGTGCGCCTCCGCAAGGATTTGCCTGCCCGTCAGGATCAGACTGCACGTAGCTGCTCCCTGAGCCCCAGTGGTTCTGTTTAGTGGGGAAGTCCGACTCCTGGTCCTGAGTGCCGTGGGGGCACCGGAGAGGCTGGGGGAGGGGGCGTCCGAGCCATGCCTTGGCGAGCAGGTGGGAACATTGGGTGGGGTCAAGCCGAGGAAGAGCAGGAACCCCGTCCCGAGAAGGTCGGGAAGCCCAGGGAGGGCAGAATGCTGAGCGGGAAGGGAGTTAACAGGGGCTTGGTGTCTGGCTGCCGGTGCCGGAGCCAGAGGGCCCCACGCTTGAGCTGCTCACCCTGTGCGGCCTCGGGCTGGCACCCGTGTCCCTTCTCACGGCCTCACCCTTGTCACCCATTGCCGGAGCTCCCTTTTGGAGGTGATCTGGCCGTCACCCTTCAGAGAGATGCTCCCTTGACCCTGTCCCGTTGCCCTGCAGCCATCAGTTGGCCAGGTGGCCCGTGTGGACGTCAGCAGCAAGGTGGAGGTGGTGTGGGCTGACAACTCAAAGACCATCATTCTGCCCCAGGTAAGCCCCTGCTGAAGCCCAGACCGTAACCGTGGCAGCCGGGCTGGGAGCCGTGGCTTGTCTCCTGTCCCTGCTCACGGAACAGGGAGACAGGCTCTCGGGTCTTCCCGGCGAGGGTCTCTTCTTTGAGGCGTTTGGGTATCAGAGAGCGCCTGAGAGGAAGGAGCTGTCCCATGCAAAACTGTGGTGTGGGCAGTCCAGAGAACAGAGGGGCAGCCCACAGCTGGCCCGTAGTCTTGTCCCACCTGGAAGGTTCCCCAGGTTGCCAGGTGTGTGCAGATTTTCACAAGCTTTCCAGATTTGCCTGTGTCCCCGTCTCACTGTGCTGAGAAACACAGGTTACTTCCTATAGGAGATAGAGCCTTTCCCACCAACAGTCCTAGGAAAACTTTTCACATGTCAGCAAGAGGAAGGAGAAGAGCTGGGCCCCAGTCCCAGCCCCTGCTGGTGGGCTCTGAGCAGCAAAGCTACTCTCAGTACCGATTCCCGCCCCCCTTGTGTGAGCTGATCCGCACGCCCCAGCTCCCCTCTCCTGGCACCTTCACGGGGTAGGGGAGGGAGTGGCTCACTCACCCCCTCGTCCGGGCGGCCATTCCAGGGTACGGGAACAGGATGTGACACAGGCCGGCTCTGCTGAACCTCCCCCCGCCCCGCCATTGCACGTTCTCAGCTACCCGCGCAGCTCCACGGAGGTGGCTGACCTGAATCCTCTAGGGGAGGGGCCGGATTTGCCGTCAAGGTCAAATGGTGGCCAAGGGGTGCACACAGGGGCAGGGGAGGCTGGAACAGCCTTTGGCTGTTGGTTGGGGTCTTGAGCTCCGCCCCCCCCCTCCCCCACCCCACAGTGGGTGTGGGGCAGGCAGAGGCGCCTTCTAGAGACCCGGGGACCAGCTAGTGCAGAGAGACTCAACTGCAGAGTCGAGAACAGGAGAGGGGGAACGGGTGGAAGGGGCCTGCCGAGGCCTCAACGCACCCAGTCACCATCAGCTCTGAGGGTCGGGACGGGCCCCAGAGTGAGGGCCCCAGAGCGCCCAGCAGAGCCTCTCTGAATTGCCTGTCTTCCCCCCCCCACCAGCACTTGTACAACATCGAGTCTGAGATTGAGGAGTCGGACTATGACTCGGTGGAAGGCAGCACCAGTGGGGCGTCCTCGGATGAGTGGGAGGACGACAGTGACAGCTGGGAGACGGACAACGGGCTGGTGGAGGATGAGCACCCCAAGATAGAGGAGCCCCCCATCCCGCCCACTGAGCAGCCGGCGGCCCCTGAGGAGGACAAGGGGGTAGTGATCAGCGAAGAGGCTGCCACGGCCGCCATTCAGGGGGCCGTGGCCATGGCTGCCCCCGTGGCTGGGCTGATGGAGAAGGCTGGCAAAGACGGGCCCCCGAAGAGCTTCCGGGAGCTGAAAGAGGCCATCAAGATCCTGGAGAGCCTCAAGAACATGACTGTGGAGCAGCTTCTGACAGGCTCGCCCACCTCCCCCACAGTGGAGCCGGAGAAACCGACTCGGGAGAAGAAGTTTCTAGATGACATCAAGAAACTGCAGGAAAATCTCAAGAAGACCCTGGACAATGTGGCCATCGCAGAGGAGGAGAAGATGGAGGCGATGCCAGACACGGAGCGCAAGGAGGAGAAGCCGGAAGGGCAGTCACCCGTGAAGGCCGAGTGGCCCAGCGAGACCCCGGTGCTCTGTCAGCAGTGCGGCGGCAAGCCCGGAGTCACCTTCACCAGCGCTAAGGGCGAGGTCTTCTCAGTGCTGGAGTTCGCGCCCTGTGAGTCCACCTTGTTTTTGTTGCCAGATCTGGAGGCCGGGTGGCCAGCTGCCGCCTGAGGGGAGGAGGCCATGTCCCCGGTGTGGTCACTGGTGCCGATGCCAGGCTGGCGGGTGCGAAGCACGTGAGGTTATCCCCCCGTCGGGGGCGCACACCCAGCAGCCGGCCGCTCCCTCGGGGCCAGGCTTCCCAAGGGCGGCAGCTGTGTTTCCAGATAGAGCTCTCAGGGGCTTGCCGTTAGCGATTGACCGCTCTCTCTTGCCTTGTAGCAAATCACTCTTTTAAGAAAATTGAGTTCCAGCCTCCGGAAGCCAAGAAGTTCTTCAGCACAGTACGGAAGGAGATGGCGTTGCTGGCTACCTCGCTGCCTGACGGCATCATGGTCAAGACCTTCGAGGACAGAATGGCAAGTAGCCTGGCGTGGGCCTGGCGCGGGCGGCTGCAGACGTGCTCGTGCGGGTGCTTGGTACCCAGGGGGCCGCGGGACCCGGCAGCACCTGGGAGGCCGTCCGCACCCCTCACGGGGCAGGAGCCCCGCACGTGTGTCCGGATCACATGGTTCCTCCCTTTCTCCCTCCTGTTAAAAGTCAGTTTTGAAGCACAGAGCTTTACCTGAGTCCTGTTCTCTTGAAATATTACAATGTTGTGGAAAAGGCAAAAGTTGCCTTTGAGCAATCCTCACCCCGCCCCTGGGAGTCACGACTGAGTTTTGTGGGTCTCCTTATAGGAGACCCTCTTTTCATGTCTTTACCTTCTCGTGTGTCCCCGTAAACACTTCGTGTGATTTGTTTTACGTGAACAGCCCGTCCTCGTACATGTCACCTGCGGGTTGCTTGTTTCACTCAATCGGGTAATTTTTTAGACCCACCCCCCATGTTGATGGATGTCGATCCAGTCCGTTCTTTTTTAGCTACAGAATAGCGTCCCGTCACGCGGCCATGCCGCATTGCGTTTTCCACTCCTGTCTTCATGGCTCAGGCCCAGGGTTGAGTCCTGCCACCAGAGGCTGTGTGAGCGCCTCCTCGTTCCAGACGCAGGCCAGCCCGGTCCGCCTGGCCCCTCATTTATCCAGCACACTTACCAGGCGCCTGCCGTGTGCTGGGCCTCGTGTGAGACCCTGAACCCTACTCTGACCCGGGCCCCAGCCCAGCCCTGGTGAAAGGGGCCCCAGGACAGAAGAGAGGCGCTGTTCAGACCTTCTTGCCGCAGGCCGGAAACCGCAGAGCAGGGCTGGGGTCTCCACAGGGTCAGTGCTGCTCCGGGTTCTTAACGACACTTTGGCTCGTTCTTGGATTTTAGTAAAACTTGTGAAATTCCCGGCTGGTCTCAGCTGTGCTGACGGAAGGGACTCGCATGTTTTCCAAGTCTCACTCGGAGGGACGGGGAAGTAGTGCCTTCTCTTGAGGCCCACAGGGCGGCCGCGTGAGAAAGCGCGGGAGAGGGTGCTGTCGGTCCAGTCGGCACTCCGCCCTCGCCATTCTGTCACCCCGTGCTCCGAGCACGGGTCTGGCTGCCGATGCCGCCCCTCCGCCGGCATGCACCCAGATCTTGAGCATCTGTGGGGCGTCTGCCCGGTGACTTAGTGACCTGAGTCTCTGGCGCTCTGCCACCGTTTCTGCTGGAATTCCAGATCCCCTATCCCTCCGGTTCCCAAAAGCAGGTAGAGCCTTGCCGCCCTAGGATGTCCTTTCATTTTCTAGCTGGTTGTGATTATCGTTGGTCTTCATGGGGGTGGAGGTCAGGGCAGGTGTTTTAAAGAGTGAAAATAAAAGTAACGAAGGGCTCCTGGGTGACTCAGTCGGTCAAGTGTCTGACTCTTGGTTTTGACTCGGGTCGTGATCTCACAGTGGTGAGATCGAGCCAGCCCCATCGGGCTCTTCGCTGACAACACAGAGCCTGCTTGGGATTCTCTCTGCCCCCCTCCTCCCTCTCTCTCTCTC